ATGGGACCTTTCACCATTCCAGGGCAAACAATTCCACTCACAGTAAGTCACTACCTGAGTAGATAATTACATGTATGCAGGTAAATTTAGTATTTGACCAGGGTTCTTTACCTATTGCCAGGATAGACCTTCCACACACATTAACAATAGTTACTTCCATTCATATGTTGATGTATCCCAGTAAACTTGAAATAAGTCTGACACATGTTTCATATTTGGATATTTTACTAGAAAAAGACGTTCATGGTAACCTAACACAAAACTTTTATGATAAACGTGATGACTTCAACCTTTCTATCGTCAACTTCCCTTACTTATGTAGCAATATGCCCTTATCAACTGCAAATAGGGTTTATATCTCCAATTATTTCGATATGCAAGAGCATGCTCAACGAGTACGAATAATTTCTAAAACAGGGCAAGCTATTGACAATTAGGTTGATGAAACAAGGATATCCACAGTCTCGTTTAAAGTCATCAATTCGCATCCTTGTCAGCAAATACAATCTATCATTAAGTCGATTGTTGACTGACATTTTTCATACTTATTGTTAGGCCATTATTTAAACACTGAATTGTCTACGTTTTTTTCCTGTTTGCCCGATTATGACAATGAGCATACGGCGGATGTGATCGGTCGACAGGGATGCTTACTCCTCCATAGCACCTGATCCCACCTCTGATGTCTTTTAGATGCCCATGTTTGCTCTGCTCCCGATTTGTATTGTTTCGTTGGACTTTTGAGCTTGATCACTGTTCGTTATCTCCATGTTTCATACATGAATTTGTTTTGTAAAGAAAAAAAAAAAAAAAAAAAGACAACAGGTTAATAGGCCTACTAGTATACGATTTGTTCCCATTCAGAGATATGACACTTTGTAGTCAATTCTTGGCTCAGATTAAATGCTTTCATCTGGTGATCCGCGGAGACTGCAAGTTTTATCAAAAAGGTTTTCAAATATGATTCAAATAAAATTACCTTCGGATTTCTTTAACTGAATTATATTTTAAGAAGTGTTCAGTGGTAAACAACTTTAGTTCTGTCATTTTACAAATCTTAAAAACTCTTTTCACGATAGGTAAAAGTAAACGGGGTACGTTGGGCAGCGGAAGCCATGGCTGAGACCAGCGGAGTCCAAATTGCCTACAAGGTGCGAATGATATATTTAAAAAAAAACATTAATCGGTAAATCAGATTATTTGTAAGAAAAATAATTGGGGGAGGGAAACATTATGAAAAATATTACCTCTGGTTGTAGGCATATAAGAAATGGGTCCAAAAGAATGGAGGAGAAAAGATGGCTCCAGGCTTGGGACTGACTAATGACCAAATGTTCTTCGTCTCGTATGCTCAGGTATTTTATACAGATTGATATGCATTTAATTGCCTCCGCTGTAAAGGAAATCCGATTTATACATATATAGGCAATGGCGTTCCGGACTGTAGATTGTTGATTTTTGTTTAATGTCAAAAATTCTACTACAGGCCAGCTGCTATAACAGAAATGACAACGTCGCTTATTACAACGCAGTGCGAGGAACAGTTTCAGAAGACATTAGGTAAAATAAATGAAACTTGACAGAACACACGGGTTACTTTCAAGCAAGAAAACACGCACTTGTTTTCACAATGTCTTCATAAAATGTCTATATATTATAGACTTTTCATATTTGGTAAGGAGATCGGGTGAACATAGCGTGCAGAAAGCATATAGCTTCAGATATATAAAAATCATTTCAATTTGTGAATTTAGTATTTAGAAAGTTCTCATTATTGAAATTTATGAATTTATAATAAACAAAACTTTTCTGAGGAAAATTTTCTCGGCAAAATTTATTCTTTTATTTAGAAAAATAATGTGGTATGCGTGGGGTTCGAACCCTAGCAATAAAAATCCTGAGTATCATTTTCTTTCGAGACTAGCACGCTAACCACTAGACTACCCAAGTCATGATGAATAGTGGCATTTAAATCATGTTTGTGATATGACCCTTGACTTTATGGACTTCAAGAATTTCTCGAAAAGATGCCAATGCTATGTCATAGAAGTATATTTTTAAGGTATAGTGGGTCTTTGCTCCATGTTTTTGGAAACCAAAAAATATATATTTTCATGCAAACTTTGAGGATTAACTTTCAAAAAAATGGAGCAAAAACCCACTCATAACGAAAAACAGTGTTAAAGTGTGAGAAAATGACTCTTTTTGCCCTCTTTAGTGTGTGTATAATATTTCATAAGCAAATAATTTCAATCTTTGTGAGATTTTTGAAAATTGTAGAGATTTTGCATAAAGTATATTTTAATGTTAGATGAAATATCAAGGAAATTTTTTATATAATTAAAATTTAATTTTTCACCTTCATGTTTGTCACACTATAGGCTTTTCGCTCATCATGTTCACCCATCTTCTTTACAAAAATGCATGTTTCAAATCAGATAATAATTTAGCCATTTTTTGAAAATAGTATTTCGGATTCTTTACAGGACAAACAGTGCTTTATCACAGATAAAAGAATTTTCTACAGCTTTTAACTGTCCGGCCAAGACTCCCATGAATGCAGAGGTTAAATGTTCCATGTACGGATAAATTCACAAGACTAAGCTGTTAAAAAAAGTTCATTCACAGATGATAAAATCTATGCTTTGAATACACCAAGCATTTGAAATCAAGTGAGAAATACACTGATACTTCATCACTCAAACAACCATTTTAAAAAAAAAAACAATTATGAAGTTATGTGCATTCCCGTTGATTGTTGAACGATGGTATTTTTGCCAGCCAATGCCTACAGACTGTTATCATACGTTCTCCATATTTGTATATTCTTCTATATAACATGAATGTATTGCCTTTATGACTAAAGAGATTATGCTTCTTCAATAGTATTAACTTTTATAAAGGGCTATACTTTTGCTAGTGTATCTGAACAGACGTGTACTCACATTGTACTTGAGAATGGTCCAATAAAATTTCATAAAACTTCAGTTTCGTTGTCTTCATTTTCTCATTAGTAATTAATTTCTGATCATATCTTAGCACTTTGTGCGCTGCTTGGTGTCCTCGACCCAATTTATACGCTTAAAACAAACAGAAGCTCGAGGCCGAATGCGTTAACTTGGATATATGATTTTGCTCGAAGTTGAAGAATTTACAAATTTTGAATATTCTAATTTATGAACGTTTACAGTATAACCATTACAAAGCTAAACTTCTTGGAATCATTCCTTCCAGATAAAATATTACTTTAAAAATTTGCTAGTTTAAAACATGACAATTTGATATATTAAAACTACACTCAATAAGGACATTTCAAACAGTACAGTATCCCAAATAAAATGATGTCATCCTTCAACAACCATCCCGAATCTACCAATAGCGGAATCAAGTGCAATAATACATGCATTTTTTCCTAATCTTTTTTCATTCAAATACTAGCACATCTTCCTTCCCTTGCATGTTTAATCCATCATTTACACAGTCAAATTTTTATGCCCCCGGATCGAAAGATCCAGGGGGTATATTGTTTTTGTCCTGTCTGTCTGTTTCTCCGTTTGTCTGTTGTCAACTTTAACCTTGCCCATAACTTTTGATTGGTTGGAGCTATGACTTTCATATTTCACATGTGTATTCCTTGTGACAAGACCTTTCTTTGGGTACCATCATATTTGACCTTTTGACCTTGGAGTTTGACCCACTTTTGCAAAAATTTTATGAGACTTTAACCTTGGCCATAACTTCAGAACAGTTGGTGCTTGGGATTTCAAACTTCACATGTGTATTCTTTGTGACAAGGCCTTCCATCGGATACCAACAACTTCGACCTTTTGACCTTGACCTTGGAGTTTGACCTACTTTTGAAAAACTTCAACCTTGGCCATAACTTTTGAACAGTTGGTGCTTAGGGTTTCAAACTTCACATGTGTATTCCTTGTGACAAGACCTTCCTTTGGATATCAATCACTTTGACCCTTTGACCTTGACCTAGGAGTTTGACCTACTTTTGAAACACTTTAACCTTGGCCATAACTTTTGAATGGTTGATGCTAGGGCTTTCATATTTCACATATGTAATCCTTGTGACAAGACCTTCCTTTGGATACCAACCACTTTGACCTTTTGACCTTGACCTAGGAGTTTGACCTACTTTTGAAACACTTTAACCTTGGCCATAACTTTTGAATGGTTGATGCTAGGGCTTTCATACTTCACATATGTAATCCTTGTGACAAGACCTTCCTTTGGATACCAACCACCTTGACCCTTTGACCTTGACCTAGGAGTTTGACCTACTTTTGAAAAACTTTAACCTTGGCCATAACTTTTGAATGGTTGATGCTAGGGCTTTCATACTTCACATTAGTAATCCATGTGACAAGACCTTCCTTTGGATACCAACCACTTTGACCCTTTGACCTTGACCTACTTTTGAAAAACTTTAATCTTGGCCATAACTTTTGAATGGTTGATGCTAGGGCTTTCATACTTCACATATGTAATCCTTGTGACAAGATCTTCCTTTGGATACCAACCACTTTGACCTTGACGTTTGATTTTTATTTAAAAAACTTTAACCTTGGCCATAACCTTTGAACAGTTGTATCTAGGTCTTTCAAATTTCACAGGTGTATTCCTGGAGACAAGACCTTTCTTTGGGTATCAACATTTTTTGTCTTTTGGCCTGGATTTTGACTTGCATTTGAGAAACTTTAACCTTCACCATAAGCTGCCATACGGGGGCATCAGTGTTTCACAAACACATCTTGTTTCCCCATGAATTTCTTATTCACTGCAAGGACTCTATTTGTTGTGGGTCAGACTTGTTAACCTTGCACAACAATTGTTTCACCTTCATACGATTACATACCATAGTTATAGGGTGTATTCTTACATACAACAGTCATCCAAACTGTGTGAACAATGCCTGACTGTTTGAACAATAAACTCTGAATCATCCTCCCAACATTACAACTTTCCAAAAGAATAAGACAAAACAACAATGACTTGTAACTGTACATTTTAATGAACAGACTAACGGTAAGATTTCTGGTAGCGGGCACGAGCACCTGGACCTCCAAACTTCTTGGGCTCGCATCTTCTGGGATCTGCGACCAGCAGAGTTCTGTCGTAGCTGATCAACACATCCTTAATTTCCTTCTTTGAGGCCTCATCTACATCTACAAGTTAACAATATAAATGATACTAACAAGTGTCTGTATATATATAAGTGCATGAAAGTTAATTTTCCTTAAAAAATAAATATCTTTGATGCATAATTTTACACCCAGAATTCAAATTATATTTTGCCTAAATTGTATTAATGAATAAAAATCATCTAGATCATTAAATTATAGTACATAGTTTTATATATTCTAGAAAGTTACAGCATTAAATTAGGTTCATTTAGTTTTAACTTGAACTAATTCTTTTTGAGCACGCAGATCATACTATTTCATTCTATTACAAAAAAAAGCCCACAGGAATATATATATCAATATGAAATAAAACGATACTGAAAAAATTTATGTAATCTTTGTCAAATTTAAAATTGTAAACTAAAAAATTACAAACAAATCAATAGTGAAATATTCTGTTGTTTTATGCATGCATTATGAATTTATGGATATTGGCTTAACAGGCTAAGAAAGAAATCAGGTTGTGCTCCATGATTCCATTACTTACATTTCTGGTAGTATGCCACCAGGGATTTTGAGATAGCCTGTCTAATAGCTACAAATGAAAGACATCATTAATTACATCTAAAGGTTGAATGCATCACTCCTATTTCCTTCTTCCTTTTCAGATTTAAAAATAAGGGAAAAAGAAACAGTTTCTTGTACTTGTCAAATCAATATGTATCATATATCTTTTTCATTTGAGCTTACATAAAGAAGAAATTATATTCACTTTTGAAAAGAACCTAGCTCAAACCATTATATTACAAATCACCATTATTTATTCCTTATGTTTTGAAACTCAACAGTTTATAGTGAATATACTCAAGCATCAAGCACAACAGAATAACACATTGTACATACCGTAGACCTGGGCCACGTGACCACCCCCTCGAACTCTTACTCTGATGTCTACTCCAGCAAACTTCTCCTTGCCAAGAAGCAAGACTGGTTCCTGGAGCTGGAAAATAAATTGTCATGAATCAACTTCAAGCTCACAAACAACAACAGGCCCATGGGCCTTGACGGTCACCTAGCCCACCCATAGCTTACTGCCATCGTGCAACACAATGCATCATGCTGGACCAATCTAAATCAATTTTTGTGTGCATGTATATAGTTAAGTACTTTTTGTAATCATGCAAATAGTATGTGTAAGTACATGTACTGCTATGCGATATTACACTGGTTAACTGGTGAATCCCAATTTCGATATGATTTTTCAGACTCAATACCCAGCACTACAGTGCAAGTAAAGATGGACTAAGTTTATCGTACAATGTATATTGAAAAGGCATTAACCATGTTATAAAACCTTTTCCTTTCCTCAAAGATATCTAGCAGGCACCCTTTCTGCATGATCCAATGAGTACTAAGTCTGAACTGTGTTCATACAGTTCAGAGTGCTTTTTGCAAAATATAACTGAATCCCTTTCATTGGACAAAAGTGTTTTTACAGGTGCTGGGCAATTGTTCAGAGCGCTGTGATAATTTCCTCATCTTTTCTCAGATAAGGTAAGCAGAAACACAATTCATCATAATTGCCCATTTTTTTTTAACCCTTGTCCTGCAGGTCGTCGATAAAGCGGCGACCCGCTAAAACAGCTATCGCTGCCGGTCGTCGATATAGTGCACTGCGCCATGTTTTTCATTCAGTGCCGGTCGTCACTATTTCGACTTTAGACATGTGACGTTTTCTAGCTAAAATAACCAATGAAATAACGGGAATCCCTTCAGTGCGAGCCTAAATATTAAAAATAGAATAGTTTACCTTCACTTCTTTGTTTTCATTGGCTGGTTTTAGGGAAATACTTTCATAAAAATAATACTTGTAAACCGAAACCGCGTCGTTTGTAAATGTTGTTGATTCAAAATGGAGGTTGTCGAAGATGTGCTAGATGGAAATGCGGTTTTACAGAATGTAGACCCGGAGAACAGAGATTTATTTAGGGAAATATTCATGGACGATGATTCAGATGAGGAATTTTTAGGATTTAATCCAGAAGATCTTGAAAATGACGAAGGCACGGCCGATTTCGAGGAGGACTTCATACAAGGAAACATGGACGTTCGCAACTTACAGTTTCGTGGTGAAAAGAAAATCAACATAGAGATTGATGAACATGCAGAAATGGTGGATTTCTTTAAACTGTATGTAACAAATGAATTTATTGATGATATTCTTGTGACAGAAACGAATAAATATGCCCAGGACTTCCTAAATTCTGCGCAAGGCCAAAACCTCAAACCTCAGTCTAGATTTCACAAATGGTCAGACGTCACTACGGACGACATGAAGAGGTTTATAGCAATGGTTATTGCTATGGGACTAGTCCAGCATCACGATATCCAGGACTACTGGAGCAAGGACGAAATGTTAGAGACCCCTTTCTTTGGGAAAACGATGCCCAGAAACAAATTCCTTCTGATATTGTCTTTGTTTCATTTAAACAACAATGAAAATCAGATACCCCGGGGACAGGATGGATACGATCCGATATTTAAAATCAGAAGGGTCTATGAACACTTCAGGACAAAGTTCAGCGAGTTATATTCCCCTGGAGAAAATATAGCCATTGATGAAGGTATGATAGCTTGGAGAGGGCACCTTTCATTCCGGGTGTACATGCCCGACAAACCAGACAAGTTTGGTGTCAAACTTTTCATGCTGTGCGACTCAAGCAATGGATATTGCTCGCAGCTCGAGCTTTACCACGGAACGTCTGAGAATCCATCGGAGAAGGGGAAGATTTATGACTTGGTGATGAGACTCATTAATCCGTACCTTGGTAAAGGTCACAAGTTGTATGTTGATAACTATTACACGTCACCTATTCTTTTTCATGACTTGTACCAGCGAAGGACAGGGGCATGTGGAACGTTACGTACCAACAGAAGAGGCGTTCCAGCGGATCTGAAAACCGTAAAGCTGAAAAAAGGAGAAAGTGTGGCAATGACAAATGGAACCCTTCAGCTCTTGAAATGGAAAGACAAAAGGGACGTTCATATGTGTACCACAATACACGATGCCTCATTTGTTGATGTACCTGGACGAGTAGACCGCACGACAGGGGAACCAATTCGAAGACCAGCATGCATCATAGCATATGACAAACACATGGGAGCAGTTGATCGCTGTGACCAGATGATCACTTACCCTGCCTTTAAACGCAGGACGCTGAAATGGTGGAAAAAAGTCTTCTTCCATCTCCTAATGATGGCCACCCTGAATGCCTACCTTTTGTACAAGGAACATTGTGCAAAATGGAGGAAAAAACCAGTTTTGCACAGGGTTTTCCGGAGGGAAATTGTGAAGGCTCTTATTGGTGAGACCAGCCATCAACCTATTACAGTAAGGGGAGCTGTAAATCCAAGAGACATGGAACGGCTGACTGGGCGCCACTTCCTTTCCAAGATCAAACAGAAGGAAGGTAACAAGTCTAAGCCTCTGAGGACATGTCCAGTGTGCTCTACCACAACTGGAAAAAGGAAATCTGTTGGAGATGGTCGCAAAACTGTACGGTCATCCTATGAATGCAAGATTTGTGATGTGGGACTATGCGTAGATCCTTGTTTTGAATTGTACCATTCCTATAAGGACTTCAAACAAGCCTACCAAAGACGTCAGGACCAAAATGTGGAGTCTGATGATTCAGATTAACTATGAATGATTGTGATGAAAAGCAGTGATAAGAATTTAATTGTTTGAATAAAAGTACTTGCTTAAATGATGTAAATATTAATGCTTAACATTCAGGACAAAAGTAAAACAAAATGAGTGTTGAGTGCTGTGGAGATCTTTGTTTACTTGAATGTTTTTGGACATTTATATACTTTATTATGTGGTAAGATTTTGGAAATATCAGCATGTTTAATAAAAGAATGAATTTCTGTACAAAAACTAAAGCTTATTCAGTCAGAATTAATTAATTGATGGCAATAATTACTGAAATACAATTATTTTTGCAAATTTTGTGACTTTAATCCTCTGTAACTTTTGATTGAAATAATATATTAGAGTTTTTTCTTCACAATATTTTTCTTTGTTTCTTCCTGAATAAAAGCTGCACAGATTGTTATTAGCAAAAATGATAAGAAAACGGTGTAAATTACAATTATCTACAGCTAGTGTAATTTGATAAAAGATTACAAATCAGCCTGGCACAGTCAGCGGTTGGAGCTCATTATCAGCTCGGCAGCCACAGATGCTGTTATCTATAGCATCCCTGGCAGGACAAGGGTTAAAAACATTACACCAATTTCATTTATTTCTCATTAGATGGAAGTTTTAATTCAAGAAGCAGTTCTATAACTGAATAACTGTTACAGAAGGGCAAAGTGGCCACAATTCCCATCCAGGTAACCTTCAGGTAACAATCTTGTGCCAGATATACAAAAATTCTGTCTCTTAGTTTGAAAAAAAAATATCTGTGTTCTTTGTTGTTAATTTAATAAGATTTTGAACTTCTACTGTTGCACAATCCTGGTCCAATACCATAATTTTAACAAACTGAAATTACATGTACTCTGCATACTTTTCAACAGAAACTTTGCTGATCAAAATTGCTCATCAGAAAGTTTTTACTTTTTCAATTGAGTATTTATCTTGTAAAATGTTGGGTGTATTTTCATAAAGCATGAATAAATAAAGTGTCTGTTGAAAAAAAAATGATCATGTAAAGTTCAAAGCACTGATAATTTCCCTAGCTTTGTTTCAGTTCATGTAAATAGCAACACACCACCACTGCTAATGCATGTTTGTTAAAAATGCCCTCAATTCCAATTTCATTTTATTTTAAGGCCATCCTTTAAAAAAATTTTGTTTGGAAGTGGTGCCTGGGAGACCCAGGAGGGAGGGAGGTTTTTTTGTTTTTTTTTTAAATTTTATTTTATTTTATTTTTTTTTTTTTTTTAACAAATTGAAGTTAAATTAAAAAATTGATAAAAAGAAGTCTGTGAGCCAGTGCTCACTAGTAATACCCCCACTTTGATGTGAATATACACTCTGATGTGAATGTCAGACCTGTTTACTCTTATGATTTCGCTGTGTTTTGTATGGATTTGTGTCCAAAATACGTCTCACGTTTTGCTATAATGAAAATACGGAAATCAGAAAATCTTTTCATTTGGATTTTAGCAGCTAGTTCTCATTATGATGTCTCAGTTTGACGCTTTCTAATCGCTAAAAAAAAGAAAATTTTCTAACACTTAAGTGATTTTGGGTTGCCAAAACGCAGTGGTTTAAAAATGACAGAAACCTCTCGAAAGAAAGCAAGGTATTACCTTTTTCTTTGTTATTAGACCATGTTTATTTTCGGTAATCAGAAATGTAGTTCTCTAGTTATATATGTACAATCAATGAAAAGTGAAATCTTACGGGGAAATGCCATATCTCACTGACAAATCTAATAAAAAATACTGAGAGACAACAATATGGGTAAACAGGTCTGGAATGTACACAAGTTCAGTTACGGACAGACAAAGGGATAAACAGGAAGTTGACATCAGATTGACATCGGATTCAAACAAAAATAAATCCCACCATATGGCAATGCCTAAACAAACAGTGTGCTAAAATTTCAAACATCTGCAACGAGTAATTGCTGAGAAAAGTGCGACAAAAATTGTTATGTATAGTACGGACAGACACACATATAAACAGGAAATTGACATCAGATTCGTATAAAAATGAATCAAACCATATGCCATGCTTAAATAAAGAGTGTGATAAAATTTCAAGCCTCTGCAATGAGTAGTTGCTGAGAAAAAAGCGACAAAATTAGTTATGTATGGTACGGACAGACACACGGATAAACAGGAAGTTGACATCGGATTCGTACAAAAATTAATCCCACCATATGGCATGCCTAAACAAAGAGTGTGCTAAATTTTCAAGCCTCTGCCGTGAGTTGTTGCTGAGAAAACTGCAACCAAAATTTGTTATGTATGGTATGGACAGATGCACGGATAAACAGGAAGTTGACATCAAATTCGTACAAAAATTAATCCCACCACATGGCATGCCTCAACAAAGTGTGTGCTAAAATTTCAAGCCTCTCCGATGAGTAGTTGCTGAGAAAACTGTGACGAAAAAATTTGTTACGGACAGACAGACAGACACACAAGGGTAAAACAGTATACCCCCCTCTCCTTCGGAGCGGGGGATATAAAAAATAAAAACCTCAATGATCAGCGGTGATTTTGATTACTTTTCCTCTTTCTTTTATTTTATTCACATCCAGCCTGGTCTGACATTTTGGCGGCTTTCATTTTGTCGAAGATCTAATCACTATATCATAAATACTACAAAGAAAGCGTTTTATTGACCGGTGTTGTTAAATTAATGTGGAGCTCAAACACAATTTTAAAAAGATATTTTGACAGACAAACTAACTCATAATAAACATTGTAAGACGATAAAATGGTAAAAAAAAAAATATTTTCAATATTTTGCCAATAAATTTTTTTTCAGCGGGGGTATTTCACTGAGGCGGGCGGCAATTCCAAACAAAAAATAATTTTATTTTGGCCTATATTAAAACAAAATGTTTTGCACAATTCATTATTAACAAATTTCCAGCTTTTGTTGGTAGATTTTCTACTTTCCTGGAAAGTTTTAGCACCAAAAATTAACTTTCCCATGACAATTTTCCACCAGCCCTAGGTAATGGGAAAGTGCAACTCTAGACCTCCGATTTGCGAGTGATTATTTGCAAGCCTGTTCCTTACTGTCTACTGATTTGCACAATTTTTTAAAACATGTAGTGAACCAAAACATTCTTGTTACCTAGCATTAGTAATAAAAAGTAACAGAAGTGCTGCAGAGTTGCATCAAATATGCATGAGAAGTCTGAAGAAAACAGAAGTAAAATCTGCACCAAACTTCTGTTCTCTCTAGATTTTGTGTACATATTTGGTACTACTGTTCCTTTTGATCACTTGTTACTCAGAGGTAATTGAATACCTTCTCCTAAAAAAATTAATACACGTCAATGTATCAAGACTCGCACACCATTTTTGGGAACAGGGACAATAGCCATTAAAATTGGGAATATTAGGGGCACATCTGGGAAATCAACATAATTATATAAAAAAGTTAAAACTCATAATTAAATTCTGATTTTGGCTTTCAATTTTCTCAATAATAATAACAATTGGGAAAACAATGCCATTCACTTGGAGTAAAAGGTATCCATTTTACATCAAGTTTGGTGCTATTCAATGGCTCCCAAATACTGCCAATCAAGAGCCCTGTGTACTGAAAATTTAGATGTTGTGAAAAAGAAGCTCAGAGCGCTGTGATTTTGTCATCTTTATCAGATAAAGGTAAGCAGATTCACAGTTCATCATCACTTCAATGTTCATCTTGCTTTTCACAAGCACATATTGGAATACTAGTAGTTTTAATTCAAATTACATTGAATGAAAATGATTTTATATACACTTTTTTTTTAAATTGCGGAATGGATTCCTCCCATATTTAAGATTTGTCCCCATTGCAATCTAAGAGAAATTGGAGATGAATTTCATTATACTAAATTGCAGCTTACTTCAAAATGTATAACAGATAAAAACATATAATTTAAGAACAACATGAGTTTTAAACACATTATGAATAGTAAAATAGTAATAGTAAAACTGTTTTCTGAGAAAATTATGCTGGTTTATAAAGAAAATAAATAAAATGTGCTCCCTGGTATAGAATTCCCATACTTCACATTTATAGTAACTTTATAGTAACATACTAATTTTTGTATGCCTTATTATCTATCTATTACTTTGTATTAATCATCTACATATTCTTGTCAGGGATTTTCCAATGCCCCATGTACGGCCGAATTTCGGCCCCATTCCCAATTGCAAAACTCTCCATTTTCCCCCAAAATTCCACCTCAATTTTCCCCTAAATTATTTATGTTTAAAATTTGACCAGGATCGGAATTCTTACAAAAGTACGGGAATGGAATTCACGACAAACGATATGTAAATGACAATTTTTATTGCTCAAAAGAACAGAATGGTTCAATTTTAAAATTTGTTTTGGTAATACTTTATTCTGATGCACTTGCAGAAATTTAGACGTACCAATTCCAAGGGACCAGGCCCCATTCCCAATATGATATGGAAAATCCCTGCTTGTAATCTTTATGTACTTTTATGAATGGTGATGAGATTCAAATTATAGATGAATACAAGATTTTTCCAATTAAATTTATTCACGTGTGATTTCATCTGATTTTATTTACCTAAGCATATGCAGGTTTTGAAAAAAATATATATTTAGAGGGTAAAAATCATGGAAAAGCTTACTCTATACCAACTGCATTCCTCCATCAGTAATAAACTTTACACCTTCATTTCCTTCCTGATAAGTGGATACCATTCACAAAAATCTGACAATGCTAAAACATGTAACGGGCAAAAATACTTGATACTGTTAGAATGTTACCTTGTATCTGAGGATTTGTGGCTCCACCTGATCCAGTGGTCGTCCATTCACTTTTATCAAGCCATTTCCACGTTTGCAGTGAGCTACAGCAGTAGCAGTTTTCTGACCAAAGAAAAAAAAATTAGATTAAACAGTTGCATCCTCATGTGGTCCAGTCTCTTGTTCCTTTCATTTTTCATCTGCTTAATATGAAATATTACACATTTTATAAATCTGAAAATTTCAACCAGGTTCTAAAATTTCTTTGTACTTTAAAATGGTCTTTTTCTTAGCTTGAAATGACATTTACTTCTAAAGAATTAAATTTAATGTGAAAATGAAATGCACCCATTGACTCGGTGTCATTCATATGCACATAATAAATATACATTTATATGTTTAGTGCAAAGTTTAGATTTTAGCTAGTATCAAACTTGAGCTAGCTTATTTGTTTGTTTGTTGTTTAATGTCCCTCTTGAGAATTTTTCACACAAATGGAGACGCCACCACTTGCGGGTGGAGGGCTGCAAATTTAGACCTATACTCGGCACTCGAGGCCATTGAGCAGTGAGGGATCTTTTTCATGCCAGCACCCACTGCGACAGAGGACCTCGGTTTATACAGTCTCATCCGAAGGACCAGTCTCCATGTTCACGGTAGGATTCGAACCTTCAACGTAAGGATCAACTCCTTACTCCTTGACTCTTGAGAAAACACTCTAACCACTGCTCCATCAGACGACTATGTTGTCTTGAAATTAACGTTCAAACTTAGGGCTATCACAGTTCCCCAAAATAACCAAAATAATGCAGTCCAAGTTGTTCATTCAGTCAGTTCCATTTTTCCAGATTTTTTGTTTGGGACAGTATCTATTAGAATTATGGCTGGGTATCAGCTGGAAATTTCGGTTTTTGACATATTAAATTTCATATTTTTATTTACTTAAGAAATTTAAAGCCCAAGTAGTTTGTCAGTATATCGGTATATGTACTAGAAAAATGTAATACAGACCCTGAAACGTGCTACTACCCCAAAAAAGCGTGTGACTTTCATGCGCTTTTCGTTTCGTGCAAACCGTGTAGCGTTTCGTGTAAACCGTGCAGCGTTTCGTGCAAACCGTGTAGCGTTTCGTGTAAACCGTGCAGCGTTTCGTGTAAGCTCCAAAGCGTTTCGTGCAAACCGTGTAGCGAGCGTGCGAGAAACGTGCGACTTTCGTGTAAGAACCGTGTGAGAAACGTGCGACTTTCGTGCAAGAATCGTGTGAGAAACGTGTAGGATTCATTCGGAAGTCCTTTAAATTTATTTTTAATATGACTATTGTTGGATTAACATGTCATTCTGTGTTGTTTGTAATTAATATTATTCGGATATATCATACCGGTGGTATTTTAAGAGTGAAAAAAAAATACGGAAACAACAAAATAAAATTATTCGGTAATGTATTACATATTTGTTTGATTTTCTTAAAACTTTATTTATTTATTTAAATAAAGATGGACAGAAAATGTGTTAAAAGTAATTAATTACATGTATATGCACATCAATTTTAAGGTAATTGATTCAATACATTTTTTAAAGGGAGCAATACTAAATAAAAAATTCATTAGCAATCCGGTCTGGTCCTTTTCATTCATTTATTTGAAAATCTTCACCATTGTACATGGGGTATAGAGATTACAAGAACTTATCGGTGATTGATAGATACATGTATGGCAGCCGTGAAAAATAAAATGCAAAATTTAGTGCATTGCTATAAATGTGAAGTATAGGAATTCTAGGCCGGGGAGCACAGTTAATTGATTTTCTTTATAAACGAACATATTTTTCTTATATTACAAGATTCTGTGATACAAATAATTTTGAAAACGATGATTCATTTATTGTCTTTTTATGCATAAAATCGGTTGATTAATGATTAATAAAAGTCATATAAATGAATTATAACTCACATGCATCGGCAAATACAAGGTTAAATATTTCAGGGGGGGGGGGGGGGGGGGTTGATCAAATGAAAACACAAACTGAATTTTTGTTGTAAACAAGTGTTTTATTGATAATTTTCTTTTGTAAGAAAATTACTGCTTTTTCGATGGGGTGTGCCCGATGCACCTTTAAAGATATATTGGAATCTTCTTTACACTTTCAACACTCTTCTTACGACTGTGATCAAGGTCATTTACAACAGCGATCACGGACTCCGCGTGCCGGGACTGAAAACTTGTTCTGCTATTATCTCTTGTCAATCATAGCTAAGATGACATCTGATAATAACGATTGATTAATTAAACGGTAATACCCGTTGATTGTATTTCTTAAATTTATCCGATTGTTTGTAAACAGTGAATTAATTTGGCAGTGTATTCGTGAATGAAATAATATAAAGAAATAAATCCTATATAATTATATATTAATTGTTTTTATTAATCACGCAGTTCTAGAGCATATTTTTTTTTAGTTTTTAGGACATAGGATATGTATACGTATATATATTGAATGTATTGTTAAGAGCCGCGACTATTGATTACATAATTATTGATTTTTTTTTCTAGACGGGGTTTGAAATCAAGGATTTTAAAACGTGGTGGATATATTGATATTTGATAAACAAAATACCGGAAAAGAGAACTAAAGAATTACAATACATATTCCCCGGTTTCTCTACCATATAAGATTTTAATGATAAATTAAAATTTAACTCTGTAACGAAGCGATATATTTACCATTCTGAATAAAGTGCATATTAATGAATTACATGTATCGGGTCCCGCTGGAGACATGAATATCTTTTTTTCTTAGAACGGGCACTTGTTTCTATAATAATTTTTTCCCGAATTTTTACTTACTGAAACAAGTGCCCGTTATATTTAGCCAAGTACAGATTTGAAGAAACAACAGTAAGATCTCGGTAATCTAACCCTCCCCCCCCCCCCCCCCCCCCCTTCCTGCACAATGTTCCTGTTTGATGCAGAGTACATATTACATTTGCAAATTATAAACAGAGCCTAATTTAATCAAATGAAATTAATTTCTTTATTAAATCAAAAAAATGTATAAATCAATCAATAATAAAAAATAATGCAAAAGAAAATCAATCCGTTTACAGAAATCATACGCAATTTAATCAAAATGTTGTTTTTTTTCAAATATAACTGTGAAACTGATCATGAATTTATTTGTCAGTAATAAAGTCAGGAATGAAACGACTTTTTAATATCATAATATGATTGTAAAAACATTAAATGCTGTAAAAGATTAAGAATTACAAAAATAATTATATTTTTTTAGTGCGTAATTTAGAGTCTAGTGAAAAAAGTTTGACGATGATATGCACTTCACCGGGTGGGTCACACACTGAATGACAACTATTAATTAATTACAACTGAACATTGAGTATTTTATCTGTTAATATAGTACTAGTGTAGCGAGTTTTAATCTTAACTTAATCTGAATGATTGTAATTCTTAACTACTCGTTGATTTATCCGTAATAATTGAAATAAAGTCCGAGAGATTCCGAATAGAAAATCCAGATCGAGGCCAAAGCGTGCGAGAATCGTGTACAAAGCGTTTTGTGCAGGCTTTCGTGTAAACCGTGCAGCCTTTCGTGCAAAGCGTTTCGTGTAAACCGTGTAGCGTTTCGTGCAAACCGTGTAGCGTTTCGTGTAAACCGTGCAGCGTTTCGTGCAAACCGTGTAGCGAGCGTGTACCGTTCGTGCAGCGTGCGTGTGGGGTAGTAGCACGTTTCAGGGTCTGTAACAATGGCATCGAAATTGAATGATGACGATAACAGTGATAAATAAACATCATAACTGAAATCTACTTCATTCCATGGCAAAACACTTGTCACGAAAGGATTAGATAATTATCAAAACGAGCAATAGTGCTCATGTTGTAGCTTATAATCAGTTTCATATTCCTAAATATCAATGTCAAAGTGAATTTAAAGTAACAAAGATTTTTTGAGTTTAATTCATGAAATTAAAGTTTAAAATATATGTAAATCACCGAACCGAAATAACAGAAAACCAAACATTTACAGGACAGACCGACCCGAAAAAAATTGGAACAGTGAGAGGCTGAGAGCCTTATTCAAAGTTGGAAAAAAAGGGGGGAGGGCAAGTAATATGAAAATGAGGAAATAGTTAATACAACTGTTGCATATCTAAATCTAGTTCATAAAAATGTCATTATCTAAAACACATCATAAAACTATATAACCTAAGTTATCATGTCATTGAATGTATAAAGATTTGTATATATTCCCATTCACGAAAACAAGAAACCACGTGGGTACCTTTCGTCCGAATACTTGTACAGACTGCTGTGGGCCCTTTTGTGGTGACCTGAAATGGGACACAGTATATATTTTTAAAAGATTACACTGTTACATTCACATTTTATTTTTATTTCAAAGGTGTTTTAAGTGAAAATTTTACTTACGGTTCCATATCGCACCACTCGTTTGAGATGCCGGAAGTAAAAGGAGGCAGCAAGGTCCGAAATGCATTATGGTAAATAGATAAGATGTGCCTTAAATATTCGTGTTTATGATTAGTGTTGTTCTACATGTGCGTGTACTAAATATTGTAGAATTTCATGCTTAGTATAACATTAAATAAAAAAGAGTAGGAATAAAGAAACATAATACATTTATTTACAAAAATATTTTTGTTGTTTTTTGTTGTTGTACCGTTGAAGGAAGGAAGGGGGGGGGGGGTAGGAGTAACTTTCTCATAGCTACTTTACTCACGTAAAATACTTGATTTACAATTACTCATTATATTTAAATTCTATTTTTATTCCATTATTCCAGTAAGTCTCAATTCATATCAACAAGATAAAAATGCATTTATTCCAGTGACGTAATAAATAATTTCGAAGAATGCAACTTGAAAGTACTTTGTCTGTCATGAATCCTAATAGATTCTGTTAATAAAATTCCTTCATGAACATGTCTTTAATGATCAAAGTAAGATATATTTAAATATAGATCTAGAGAAAAAATGTACTCCATAGAGGGCATGCATTTATTAAGTTAACATGAGCAAATTTCAGATGCCGTTAAAAACCTCTAAGTTTGGATAAACAAAAATTAAAATGAAACATATTTGATCATTTTCACTGCCATATAACACCTTTTTTTCAACATACAAGTGGTTCCTATATCTTTCTTTTATTCAAAATAAATCTTCTTAAAATGACTTAACAGGATTTCAGACCCGTCACCAGGTTTTAGGAAAGGGAGTGCGACGAGGGGCTGGGAGGGATACACTTCCCCCAAGTCAGAAATTTGTTGAAAATGGGTTCTATTTTTGTGGGTTCTGGTACATTCTAAGATTCTTTTTTTCAATATTAAATATACAAAATCTAGTAACATTACGTCAAAAAAGGGATACTGGATTTGTTAAGACTTTTGATGTTTTAAAGGGGGTGACGGTGACATTGAATCGTAGTATCCCCCCCCCCTTTTTGACGGACTATGAGTTTTTTGAGGGGTTTTTTTTTCATATACAAAATCTAGTAACATTACGTCGAAAAAAGGGATACTGGATTTGTTGAGATTTTTTTAAAGGGGGGAGGGGAAGGGACATTGGACCCAAAGTACCCCCCCCCCTTTGACAGACTGAGTTTTTTGAGGGTTTTTTTTCGCTGAACAAAATGACCCACATCAAAGTACAATATTTGAACAAAACATTTATATCTTGGTATTCTGTCTATTTGAAGTCCAATTATTCAAAGGTCTTATATTTATCATAAACAAGATTCAATGCATGCCGGTATTTGGTGTGAATTACGTCGCCAAGTGGTCAAAGTGTCAATATCAGTATTGGGATTTTCAACTCTCGAACACCACAGAATTCGAAGCATCTACACTTGTAATTATAACGTATTGGACAAAACTTGTGTTTGGAAAAGAAAATACACTTGTAGTTTGCGTAGAATTGTATATTTATATTTATGTAAACAAGATGATAAAGGAGAAATGACAAACTCCTGGATTTCCTTGTACAAAATATTTTTGACAGATTTGGTTCATCAACATGTGGTACGAGCAAATTTTCCATAGTGTACAATAGATCACTGCAACAGTAAAACAAAGATTTTAAAAAAGATTAATATTTAAAAGTGCTTTAGTGAATTTAATGAAGTTCACGAATCTTCAAAAAGTTTGACTGAAGTAATGTACTTGTATTCTAACAAGAAACGAGGATCTGAATAGTACATGTAAGCACGAACAATTCCATTTCATTTCTCTGTGTAAAGATTATCAACCTGAATTTCACACACTAATATTCCTAACTACATGTATACTTCACATATATACATATCCGTAGGAAGTAATTTCAGAATTTGGGGGAGGGGGCACAACCTAACAGAAATTCTTGAGTACTGGGGTGGGGTTGGGGGTGTCTGTCACTTTCAGTGTCGATCTCCTGAAACCTTTCTCTTGCTGGATCTGTCATTGAAACTACATAATTATATATTTGTTCGTCTGTTTTTTAATTGTTGCAACTTGAAGTCATATTTCCTACTGCAAGTCATTCGAAAAAAATTCTTTTCCTTCATCATAATCCTTTCAATTGATTGTTTATCAAATAAAAATTTGATATTTTCTGTATCAATAATAATTTTACACTAAACAAAACATTGACAATGTACATGTTATTTACAAGCTGCAATATTAAGAATAAAGACAAAGCCTTTGTTGCTAATTATATCTAATTTCTTGCTAAAGGATGATTTTGTATATCACAACATTTGTAGATGAGACCTATAAATAATTCCAATGAAAAAACATTAGTGTGAAAGTACATCATAGGTTATATGAGAGGGCGATACAAATATTGTGTTGCTTATGTATACATAGAACAATAGCGCGGGTTCCTATACACCTACCCTACCTGTGGCATAGAAAAATATCGATCCGTCTCAGGCTGCGAACAGATGTGTCGAGAGCTCTTCTCTGATCGTGATAACTGGTGGTAGTCGTTACCGTTCATCTCTAGAGAAGGAAGAGAGATTTTTTTTTTCTCTCTCTCTCTCTCTTTGAGACCAGAGCCGGGAGACACCCGCCATGAGGCAACATCGCTGTTTGTTTTCTCTCTCATGGGAGTTCTTTTGAGGGCACTCTGTGATCCCCCTTCGCCGTTGTTTTGTTCTTGTCAAGGTAAGTGCTTAGAACAATAAATTTCAAATCTAAATCGATATGTAAACGCTAATTAGCGAGATGAAGAGCTGAAGCATTAATTCCTGTTTACCGTTTTATGTCATAGTGATAAAAAGTATGATACATATATGATATCTCGTTGTTTGTAAACAGAATTTGCATAGATTTCTTAATTTTACTTTTGGTCACTTTGAATCTTTTAATAAAGCAATGTAATAAAATGTTATATAATTTCTAATTTAATTGTGATCTATTACTTTGTCAATTAATACCTTTATAATAGAAAAGATATAATTGTTTGCTGTGTGCAATTTGAAAATAGCCTTGTTAAATAATTTTAACCAGCAAGGTTCTGATTTAAATAATTAACTTAACATCATGTATGACCCAGATTCTATGATTTGTATGCTATCCTTCACTTTGTATTCAGTCGCTCATTGCAAAATTTAAAACAAAGGATATTATTAATGAAATTAATAAAAGACAACTTAAAACGGTTACCATGACAACCCTTTTCATATTACTGGATTCAGGTGACCGTAATGATAATAAAAACAGCTTTCGCTCTATATGCACTGCATGGATTTTTTCAATTCAATAGTATATTTCACACTACAGCAACACAAGTAATTTTAACTTTGCGTGTCTTGTTCCTATAAAAGCAAAATACTGCAAGTAACAACTGATTGATTGCTCTTTTGTATTGTACATCCAATTGAAATGGCCAAACTATGTTCTAGATTTAGTAAAATCTTACTTTCCTTTGCAGGCGTATAATTCGTCTTATTTACTTTCATTCCATCCAAATCCCTACCTAACCTTAACTTCAGTCTGTACTAATTTTCTAAAGCCTAGTCTTGAACTTTATTGCACTGAGTAGACAGATCTTTCTTCTATTATCTGTGGAGAAGAACAAAACTAATCAAAAGCATGGTTATCCTGAAAATATCTTATTTCAGATAGGATCGAAGTAAAATCTTCATTGCGACTCCGAGAAATCACAAAATTCTGATTTAAAGAACTCGTACATTTGAAAAGGAAGTCTTTGTCGTACTAAGGGTCGTTCACATATGGATCATTTTGTCTGGCATCTTTTTATCAATGCATATAAAAACATATATTAAAGCATAAAGGATACCGTCATTTTGACACGGATATTGCCCTTCGAGTTATACATATATTTTTTTAAAATTAATAATAAATATTGCCATTATCTTTTTTCCCTCTGCTTTGTATTCCTTTAATATAATATCAAACTTTTTAAAAGAATGAAACAAGTTTCTAAGATATAGTCAAAAGATTTCGATCTTTGATGCAGTGCATGTCTCAAACAGTTTAAGGAATTCCATATTATCTACATCCTGAATATTTAATGGCAGACATGACAGGGCGTTCATATCAAACAAGATTTCTTCAGAATTTCTTAACCACTTAGTGAACTTGACTTAGGTCTATGACACCTACTTTTCAAATAGATACAAAAACAGTGCATTATAAACGGAAAATGACAGGGCTTTCTTATCTATTTTGCGTATTCTTGGTACCTCCCCCTTTTCCATAACAGACACTGAACTTTGAGTTTTTTCCATTTAAATATACATGTACTTTGGGTTTATTGTTGTCATATTGGTATTTCTGTCCGTCTGCACGTCAGTCTGTCACGGTATCTTCTTCCTTGAACTCCTCTTACATTTTGAGCAGTAGCCAATCCATCTTTTGGAATATGATTGATGCTATCCTGTAGATGTGCAATAAAGTTTAGGAGTTTTCATTAAAAAAAATAAATAAAATCTATAGCAGCATTAGTGACAGTAAGAAGGAGTGTACACTTGCGTGCGCGTATAATTTTCTTAAGTCAGGATCTATTCTATTTTAGTGCAGAAGTTGGTGTCCAGAAGTTTAACATCCTCTTTTTATCATATTGTTGGTGTCATCTATGGATGACAAAAAATGATCCCTGGAATATTTTGATTTTCTCTTAAAACAATTTACATGTATTTTATTACGTTTCTCGTTCTTATAAATATTCTTCGGGGATTTTTGCTGTGGCACTCCAGCTGTCGTTGTTGGTAGTACATGTAACAGTTTTTAGTGCCTTCTATTGGGAGATATTAGAACTAATTAGCAATGAAATTAAAGTGTCAATAGTACATGAAATTTGTTAACCTTTGATCATTCTCTACTTATTAATGTTCGTAGATGAACAATACAATTTTTATAGGATCACATTTCTTAACTTGACCACCACATGCAAACTATCGCTTGCTCATTGTTATGCTTCCCGCCAACAGACCACTCTCGACACTGCTAAAATGCCTTTCTGTTTGAAAATACGGAAGTGAATAGTAATGACGATAGCGGACGGAAAAGGACAAATTCAGAACTCAATACATCGATATATGGGACACAAATCAGTGCCTTGACAACAACCATGGTGATTTAAGAATTCGATTTTTTATAATGCATATTCTTGCAGCTGATTAAATTTTCATAAAAAAATACTGTGTGAAAATAACAGATAAGATTGAGTATATCTGGAGCGAGTGTAGAAAAGAATCTTTCTCTCAAATATGCCATCATCATAAATATTATTACATTAAACATGTCGACCTCATTAACTTGTATATACGTATGTTATAAGAATACAGAAGAAAGAGCTATTTTTTTCATGGCCTTCTCTACTAATAAGGCAATTTGTGATCGTTTTGTTTTAAGGCTCATCGGCCCCTCTGAAAAGAGAGATAACAAAACGCGCTGGGATAAATAGCTATTATTCCTTTACAGAATCATGCAGTTAAAATGCCATTTCTGTCAAATTTTACCCCGCAAGGTAAAATGATGTGCATTTTAATTATAAATTAAATTTATTTTGGAAAATCTAAACGTTAAAACAAAATTTTATGTAAGCGAGCATGCATGTAGGGATGATGAGTCAATGTCTTTCCACAAATTTTATTTAAAAATAAATTTTGTTGTTATGACTTCTTCATAACAACAAAATTTATTTTTAAATAAAATTTGTGGGAAAACATTAATATTGCATTTTCAGATGTCTTAAGTATTTCCACGTCTGCTGTTGGTATTATGAATACATGTATTTCTATTAACTTGTATCCGATAAAGTAATGTGGACATGTTTTACGTATTAACACGTATAGAAATATAAAGGATATTCAATATGTAAGAGTTGGATATGGAATTTATTTTACGATCGAGTGTGACAGGATTTTTTTTTTTACTTCCACGAATGCGAAGTACGAGTGAACTATAAAGAAATCTGTCCCACTGTGAATTATACCACATACAACTACAAAACAGTTTTCTGTTAATCACATTTTCTTTGGTTTCCCTTTTGTCTCTGTTGGCTGTCTTTTTTTTTTTTTTTATTGAAATTTAAAACAATGTTATGTATTGAACAAAAGTCCAAAATCTTGAATGATGCAAAGATAAAGAATTCAATTGAACTGAACAATTAAACAACTTTGATTATCTTAATTGGACAATTAAACAACTTTAATTTATCTTAAAGTTTAATAAAGTAATTTTAACGTTAAAATATGAATTAAATTAAATGTACCACATTTTTTTGTCACGTGGGATCGACTGTACATTTAACATACAAGTGGCAATTAAAAATAAAGGTGTATGGAATTACCTACTGGTCAGTAGAGGTCACGTGGAAGAAAGGGGGGGGGGGGATATGAACTATACTATATGTCAATGGGCAGCATTATATGGTTTTACACAGTATTCCCCTCCACCAATGAAATTTCAAGAATTTTATCAGAGGCATAATAAAAGTGCAGTCTACAGCCGCTTAATCGAAAAATTGCATAATAAATAATAGATCATATACTAATCTATTTCAAAGAGAACCATCGTTTTATCTACAAAGAAACAGCTTTGCATGGATATCTTTTCTTTATTTTTATTTTATTTATGTATTTATTTATTTTTTACTTACAGAATACATTTTTCTGTATGGCCGGAAATCGACACAGCAGCGAAGTTCCCTACCAGAACTATGACAAACTGAAGCAGACTATCCTAATGAAACGACAGCGCGGGAAACATGAACTGTTTGTAGATCCTTCGTTTCCGCCGGATCTTTCGTCACTGACGTACGTCTATATAGGAGACGATCGATACGAAAGGACCAAATTTGCCAGACCACTGGTGAGTTTACAATACTACCTATTGCATGATGACTTAAAAATATAATCTAAAACACATGAAACTCTATATACACTGTACTGTATTTCGATTCTGGCGGAGACTCTCACATAAATTTCAATATTTAAAATATGTTGACTTACATGCACCGTGAAGTAATTCGAATTGTGTATAAATAGAACAATAATGTTCTTTATTAGATTATAGAATATGCACTGCTTCTGTTATGTTTGTGAATTTCTGTGTTGATGTAAATCTTGGAGTTCAACTTTGAATCAACGTTAATACTTAACATATAAACTATACTTAAGCTTGAAATCGCTTCTTGAAATCTATTCTTGTGAGCGGTACTGCATCATTTATACATTGAATTGTCTACGGATTTTTCTGTTTTCCCGATCATGACGAGGAGCACACGGCGGATGTGACCGGTCGAAGGGGATGGGGGTTACTCCTTCACTTGATCCCACCTCTGATGTTTTTAGAGATCCGTGTTTGCTCTGCTTCCGATTTGTATACTATATTGTTTCAATGACTTTTGAGATTGATTACTGTTCGCTCTCTCCATATTTGATGCCAGAATCGGAAAATAAAAGTAAATATACTACATTGACATCTTTGATTGTTTAAAAATTTTAACTACATTCATTGTTCTATAGTAATTTTGAGAAGCAGAAAAGGAGATATTTTCATACGCCGCTGTTCCGCCAAAGATATAGTCCCTGCTAGATTTCAAACTCAGTTTACCATTTCTATTTACAGTTGTACATACAATTATGATGTAGAAAGAAAAAAAATGATTTTTTTAAATCCCTTACATCTAAATATATAAGACATATAAGCAAATATACTTTGAATATTTCATCTAGTCAGAAACCAGACAAGAATCCCTCCTTAGTTTCCAGTTTTTTTGGCAATAGATAAAATTTACGTTTGTTTTAAGATGTTAATCAAAAGTATGCAGTATTTCGCCCCAAAATAATCAATTTTTTTTTATACCTTTAACGCAATAACATTCTTGAATTACCGTTACGGTAGTTAAATTTTTAAGAGAGACAACTGTTTTTGTCTAAGTCAATTTATTATGTCGAAAATATAATGGTCAAAAGTAGCTGACTCGCAACTAGAATCGATGATATTAGGTTCCATGGTCACTTTCACCTGATCCCATCTCTTATTTCAGAGGCCCATATTGGCCCTGCTCATAATTTGTATTGTTTAAATGGACTTTTGAGAATGGTCACTGTTCGTTTTCTTCACATTTCATTTTGAATTGGTTAACTTCAAGTTAACGTAAAAATATCCAATGATGATCAAAATAATTGTGTGTTTTCTATCTCCTTGTCAAAGGAGCATACAACTCGTTGGATAAAAAGTATATACATTCTCAAAACCTAGAAGATTATGTATCCTTTCGCGCAGCTAACGCAGAGTAATGCTCAACAGTACGCTGCTGTAAATTTAGCATTCTGAGAGAAAAGCTAAAGTACATTTCTTAAAGTATCCTTATGTCATTGAATTCTTGAGAATAATAAATCCGTCTTCCACGTTTTTTGTAAGTACACACGTATTAATTCCTTATCATGACACACACACACACACACACACACACACACATATATATATATATATATATATATATATATATATATATATATATATATATATATATATATATATATATATATATATATATATATATTAGAGTATTTTACATTAAACATAGCGAAGATATCAAAACTTCCATGTTTGAGAAAAAAAAAATTAACCAAGATTCAGTTTCTTGATTCGGTTACATCATTCCTCTTTAATCCGTGTTATCGCTGTGAGCGAATTCTCAAAGACTTCCTTCCAATAGATTTTCGATCGCCATGCTCGATAAACCATCTGTTTCAATAAATTTCTAATGCAGGGGACTGTTGTGTTTATTTTTGACGTCTTTCTACCTATTGGGGAGGGAATGTATTATTTTTGCCATTGGGCATGTTTCTCTAACTTTTACAAAATAATGTTGTTGTGCAGACTGCAACTCAGTAATCCATCAATGGATAATATTTTCATACTGTTGTGCATTATCGCCTTCTATCGTCTCCGTGCAAAGAAATTACAAAAATATGTCAGATTATTACTTTCAAATTATTATTTATGATGACTTCAGACTACATTATTATAGTAAATTATTGCCTTTGGCTTAAAGTGTGTTATTTGACGGAAGATCGTACCTCAAAGGTCCAAGTCACTACAAGTAGTGGTGAGTTGAAATGATGGAACAATAATGTTTTAACCATTAATAAAGATGTATAATGAATTAAATATATAAAAGTATATTTTAAACTATTAAAATACGAGTGGTATTACTGCATTAATTCGAAGACGTGCAGTTTGTTTGATCAATTTAGAAAAAATTTAAAACAAACAACACCCACCCCTCTCCACCCCAAACCTCCCAAACCCCCAAACGATGGTACGATTTTGAATGCTCTACATAATTTCTACAGCCAATGTAAAGATAGGTTGATGACCTGACTATATTTCTCCTCACATAGTTAATAATACCCGAATAAGCTTTAATAGGTGAATACATTTGTTTAGAAAAAACGTGACGGACTTTGACCTATCAATGAAAATGAAACAATAAGGTGCCTTTTTCAATACTGGTGCAGCATGTCTTGACGATTTTTTTTTTTTTTTTTTTTTTTTTTTTTTGTTTTATGTAGGACATCTATCCAAATGGTACATTCGCAGGCGTGTGCGGAGTTTGGAATGTGCAGTTTCCATGGAGACATTTTAAGAAGCGAGCATGGTTTGAAGCTGCTGTTCAAGTGCTCTCGTTAGCCGTCCGTTATATGGAAAAGGTCATCCCTGGTTACAGAAACTGCGAACAGAACTTCGACGAGGAGTATATTGGTAAACTGAAAAAGTTAAAACATAAAGTAATTAATCTGATATATCTTGTCTGTGTTCCCATTATTTTATATATGTATATGTTCTGTTCAGTTAATGGTTTTTTTTTCTTTTTTTTTTGTCGCATGCTTAGAAATGCTGGCTCTATACATGTATCTGATTCACTACAATTTTTAGGGGCCTTTCATTTTAACTTTTGGCGGTTTGGGAAGTGGGTGGAGACTACGGTAGACGACAATCTCCCTGTTCTGGATGGAAAGTTGATGTACTGTAACGCTCAGGGAGAGCCACCAGAATTCTGGGGAGCCCTTTTGGAAAAGGCATACGCTAAGCAAGTATAGCTACATAGATATAGATGCTCAAAGTAAATGTAGAGATATAAATATACCTACTCAAACATGTGCTGACTAGAAAATGCCAGTATAACACGAATGGTTGAAGACTTGCTGGCATTTCTGAGTCTTTTAAGTATCGTTGGCTCTAGGAGTAAATCATACTGAAATCTCGTAAAAAGGAAACATATTCACGGAAAAAGTTTCATTTATAAAAAGTACATGTATGCAGAGGGTGAAAAATCGAGACTTTAATTATATTTCGATTTACTTCCAGGTTTAATAAGGCCTATGAGACAATTGAATATGGCGATGTTCTGGACGCGTTGACAGACTTGACGGGTGTTATTTGTGAGTACTTTACCCCTGACGTCAACCCTCCGGAACAATTTTTTTACACCCTGTATAGCTCTGTTGTCAATCGATCACTGGTCGTCTGCTGGCGGAACGAAAAAAGACTTACTCGAACCGGATTCAACTTCGAAGGGGTCAGTTTGCTATTTTATGCGAATGAGTTCATTTCTTGGAATATTGCATTTTCAATAGAAAAATTGCAATAAAAAAGTTATGTTCTTGTAACTGACCACTTTGTACAGTAAAAGAGGGTATGCAAACAACGATCATCAATTGAAGATTCTGGGGTATGCAAACAACGATCATCAATTGAAGATTCTGGTCAAATCAGAATATGGGACCCGGTATAATTTATATGTGTTAATCAAAATGAATTGCATGTTAAACTTACTCTTTTAATGATTTTTTTTAATTGAATTCCATTGATATACAATTTGTTGACCTGTAAAAACACAAGATATTTTGAATTGCATATATCATGGATTCAATTATATAAATACATTTAAACAGTAATAAATCAACATCGTCCCTACACCATCTATGTAAATATTGCACTGCAATGTCAGAGTGCAACGAATTTCATAATAAAGTATCGGTACACTATCAGTACACGCATGTGAACACGAATTTCTGCACATTCATATTAATCTTATAAAAAATGTTGATATTAATGTTTGAATTTGTTTTTGTTTTATAGAAAGAAGACATAGCAAGTGATTTAGACAATAAAAGATATTTGCACCTTGTAACAGCGGTCACGAAGGTATCCACAAATGTATACAATCCCAATTTCCAAATAATTCTTAAATACGGTACTTGTGTTTGTCTAATACTGAGTAGAATTTAAGCATAATTGTGCAAGATCATCAAAACCTGATTCCATTCTTTCTGCTCATGATTCCATAGCTTATGGCCCTCTATCACCATGATAACGTTTCTTGTCCCAAAAACCTAACGTTCTTTCTTCCTTACTCAAAATTATTATGTATCCCTGCTCACCAGTCTATGCATTGCTGTGTTCTTCTCCACTTTTCCATGAGAATCCTACTTTTCTCACACCATTATTCATAAAAACGTTGCACCTTTCCATATTTTTCCTAATTATACTTTCTTCCATCCCTTATCACACTTTTTTCCCTAACAAATGTGTCCTTCCTTTCCCATCCATCTCTCATTATCAGTGATCTTAGTTATGCTGCTTTCCTTACGTGCACTCACAAATTGCTTCATTCTAATCTTCAACGGAAAGAAATATAGGTTCCATTCCTTGTGCGAGTTGTAATAACCGTTTTTTCTCTAACTCGAATTACTTGATTTTTAATTCTTAAGAGATACGAAGCTTGCCGAATGTCTTGAAAGTTAGAAAAATAAGGAACGAGAGTTTGAGAAAACCGGTAACTAACGAGCACTGATTATCGAACCTGTTCCTCTCATTATAAATGTGGAAACATGACGTACATTTTAGGTAAACTTTGAAACGCGCGGAGGAAAACAGCCAATAAGGATCGTCTTTAGTGTAAGAAACAAATCAGAAACCTAGGTGTTTTGGAAAAAAAGAACAACTACGCAGGAGTGATGAAACACAGATGATAATGGGGAAAGCTGCTCTATGAATTGTTAGCTTCCCGGCCGTTGTTGCATTCCTTCCTCAAATTTTCATCCATTCTTGCATTAATTATTTTTTTTTTGTGTGTACGCTTAATTCTTCTCCACCCTCTTCACCCATAATTTTGCTTTTTTTCTTTTTGTACCTCTTTCTTCTATATTTTTTCCTCACCTCTCCTGACACGTACCGCCATCATTGATAATTGTGTTCCTTCCACACCAGTTGAGATTACCGAACATCTCTGTGACTATTGTGTTTTCCTCCCCCCAAATATGCCTTATTTGATTGCTCAGTGTTTTTTTTTTAATTTTTATCTCTCATGATTACGATGTGTGTTTTCATCCACTTTTCTTGATTATGTTCTGTTGATACCCTACAGTTTTTGTTCACTGTAATTCCCCTTTTTTCAGTCAGTGTTGATAGCATTACGTTGCGTTCCTTCTTCCATCGTTCATTATTAGGATGTACATCTTTAATTCCCCGATATTTTGCATTTTACATGTACTGCATTCCTGCTTCTTGATTTCTCATTCATACCCATATGATATACTATGTTTATCACTCCATTCATTCCTCTAATATCCATGATTATGTTTTGTTCTTTCCCCGATTAATCACAAAATCATTGTGCATATATTCAAGCCCATTCACCATCTCCCATGAATGCTTCTCCCACCATATGATTTCGCTTCATTTCGCCCTCAACCTTCATGCTTATGGCGTATCTTTTCCCTGTTCAATTATGATTTTGATGCATTCTTACCAATTTCTCTTGATTATACTGCATTAATCTTCATCACCCCTTTGATAACATAGCTAACTTTTTTTCACTACCTGCGTTTACATTTTCTCCCAGTTTTTTTTTATAGTTACATTGTTTCTTTCCCAGAATAATCTTGATTTCACAGGTTTCACCCTTCAACATCTGTGGTGATATTTTTTTTAATTCCCTACCCTTGATACTCTTCTTTTATCTCTGCAGCATGTGATTACATAAGATAAGCTTTATTTAAAGTCAGTATGACAGTTAAAAGACAACACAAGCTCTATTGAGCTTTTGACTGACATTATTAACATATACATAACAGTAAAATACACATACCAGTTAAGCAATAAAACATGCAGCACTATAAACATAGAATTACATCACGACAGTACAGCACACAGTCAAATTAAGAAGACATATCAGATAAAGATACGTATATAAGGCACCCATGTATACAGACACACAAACAAAGATTACAGATCTTACCTAGTGGAGCAGGCTGTGCATCCACAGTTCTTACCGCTCCAGGAGGCTATCATGGATTTAAACTGTAAAAGGTTTGTTTGACATTTAAAATTTTCAGGTAGGGAGTTCCATAGAACTGGTGCTGCATATATAAAAGACATTTTACCATAAGAAGTTCTAACTTTTGGTATAATATTTGAATATCTAAAATTGTACTTTCTTACTAAGTCTGACAGATATCTTGGAGAAATGTCATATATAATTCTAAAACATTCAGGAGCCACACTGCGCATTCTTCTAACCTCTAGGGAATGTAATTTTGCTTTGTATAACAATGTTTTATAGCTACTTTCCAAATCTTCATAAGTGAAACATAAAGCTCGTTCTTGAATTTTTTTTTCAATTTTTCTTGTGTTTTTCTTTAGGCAAAAGTGTCAAACAAGAGGACAGAAATAAAAAGAGCTAGGTTCACTTTATGCATAAAATGGCCCTGTCCTTATATCAATTAATTGACTATCAAGCTCAGTCCTATTTCATATATCAAAATAAAGTAGAGAATTGGTGCTCTCATTTCCTATAGCAAAATTTCTTTTTGAGAATCCAGGTATTGGAAAGCAGGCTTTTTGAAAATGCAATATGTTATTGAATTTTGCAGAAAACAGACGTATTTGACTAACTTCAGCAAAGAATTAAAATATGAGCACAGCCCTCGATCCAAAAATTAAAACATATTTTATAAACTTCAGAAACAGATCTTTCATTATGTTATTGCATATTTTGGATCAGAGGTTGTGCTCTATATGAAATATTGAAAAAATACTTTATCTTTTGGCCATTTTTAAAGGAATTTACAGGATATGGTAAAAATCACGCATTTCATGCATTGACTAGAGAGAAAATTACGCCACGTTCAGTAGAAACATGGTCACCAAGGGTCCAAGTGATGAATACTGAATTGTCAGCCAAAACTGAGCAGTTTCGATTTTCAGAAATTTGCAGGGCCAAAAAAGGTCTTAAGTGGCCCTTGCTCTTTGACAGAATAAAACTATAAAATATGGTTATTTTGTTTAGCCGAGTTAATACTGAACCAATACGTGTTAAAACATTTAATTGTTGGGCAGCTTTTTGCAAATTTTACTAACAAGAACATCAAATTTAAGCATAAAATTAATATTAACTCCAAATAGTTATTGTTATTTGCAGTTATTACATATTATGTTCCTGCCTTCACCATTTGTGTTTATCTTGAAATTCTTCTTCCAGCATCAGATTACATTGTTGTCCTTCCCACTCATCCACGATTTATATACATTCCTTAATTCCATCGTTTCACCCAGGATTACTCAGCAATTTTTATATTATCTCCTTCATAATTTAATTTTCTTTGTATTCTAACCTCTGATTGGTTAATATCCAAAAAGGAACACAAATTATTTCTGTATAACTTGGTTTGGTATGGGGACACACCCCCTGACAATCAGCTGAATCATCTGTATCCATACAATCCTCTCATTTCCAGTCCTTGGGATTCATGGAAAATTCCAGATTTAATAAATATACCTTTAACTTCAAACAATAATTCGATCTTACCACATGTAAATAAACAAGAAGGCTGCTAGGCCTATGTATCAGTTTTTACCTCCTCTCGCTTCCCATCACTTCCGTTACTTCCGTTACTACGGTTGTATTATTGAGCGGCAAATTTGAATTAATAAAAAGCAACGATTATACACCCATAATTATTTAATGATTTTAATATTAAATTATAAGGAATGATTCGCGGATTATAAAGCGTAAACTGACCCAAACCAGGTTATACTCGAATAATTTGGCCAAGAATTAGAGTCATTCCTAAAATGTCCATTTCTTTTTTTACCATCAACAAAAATGGACAGAAAGAAATATCCGCAGCGGTCTATCAATTATGTTTATAAATTGATATTTAAAACATCATATTGCCAGTATAAACGTTAATTATTATTTTGGGGGGGGGGGGGCAAGTTGTACATTGTACATCCATTTCCTGCACTCCTATTATCCTATAAAACGGAAATATGTGAGCAATAAATCAATGTAGATAATAATGTAATTTCTGAAAACTATTAATGTTTTAAGAATATGAAAATGAATTTTATTTCTCTCCTTATTTGATGTCTGAAATTGTTAGAAATTGCATTTCCATTTTTTTACAGGAAAATATAGTGTGTAGATTAAGCGTTATCTAAATAAGTTTATTTTTTAATTGTCACAAATTTTAGAGTTAAATTATTAATACAGCAGCTAAATTTCATGCTTAATCCTCCAAACACTTGATCACATCTCTGATGTTTCTAGAGGTAATGTGTTTTCTCTGCCTCCAATTTGTATTGTTTTAATGAGTTTTTGAGCTTGATCACTGTTCGTTATCCTCACATTTCACTTCCTAGTAATGAAAACACATGTATTCTTCTTGTAAAGTACTGTCTTTGTCAAGAATTTAAAAAAAAAAATGACAACGTATTTTAATGACATTATTTTGAAATTTTATTTTAAAGATTAATTTTTCAACATATTTTAATGATATTATTTTTTAAAAGTTCCCATTAATTGATGGAAGAGAAGTAGAGGTTGTAAGGCTGAGATGTTTCTTTCCTGGCGAACCAAAATGGAATGGAAAATTCTCAGACAGGTATTATTATAAAATAAAATTACATAAATAGATCAATAATAATATATTCATATAATTTTTAAATATTACAACTGTGATTACCAAGTACACATACTAGAATAACTGAAATAGTCTAAATCTAATTAATCACCCAAGCCGTAGACTCAAGTGAATATTTTTTTATTTAAAAATGTATAGTGTTTACATGTATCTGTTCTATCATCAATACTGTAGATCGTAAAGTTTAAATTTTTTGCTTTTTTCACTAGAACTACAGAACCATCAAAATGATATTTAGCACAAAACATCTTTCTTTGAATGAAAAGAAAGTTAAAATTGGATGAAATTATAAAACATATCTTCCTCTCAAGACTTGCTGTGCCATAACAGAGCTTATGTGAAAGATTTTGTAGGCATTCTAGTTTAAATTTTCATCCAGTCATGAGGACGACTTTAAGGATCAAAATCTTTTCACAGAGAGAGTGGGCCACAATAAGTCCAACTAATGCAAGCATCTACAACAAAAATCTTTTCTCAAGTACAACAAGGATACCGTTTGCAAAAATAATCTGCAAGAATTCTCACGAAGTGTAAATTTATTTTCTAAGAAAACAGTCCAGATGGAACGTTTTTAAAACCCCCCAGAGGCCATACACTTTACGATTTGAATAATAAATACCCAGGATATAAAAATAAAAATCTTCAAAGAGACAGTTGAATCGCAATTTATCACATGTTTACTCCTTTATACAATGTACATTGGATATCTACGGTATTGTTTTCATATCGACGACACAATGTTTTGCGTGAAACATTATGTCAAATAGAGTGGATTCATATATAAAAATAGTGTAAAACATTGATAGCTATATGTAGGCTAAAACATGTGATAAAAAGAATTTCCCATGGTTTGTGGTTAGATATGATTTTTATCCAACTGGAGTGTTTCGCCAAGGCATCGGGATAAAAAATCACACAACTCATAGGATAAAATCATTATCCAACCACAAACCACTGGAGACCCTATATTATAAAACAACTAAATCCTTTTTTTTTTTTTGCTGCACGCGCTGGGGTGGGGCCTATGTACATGTTATATCTAAGACTAAATTTGAAAAAAAATCTTATGTGAGTACACATATACTAGGGTTACACATACTATGTAATGTATATTGTACGATATCTCAAAAGCATTTGACTCAAATAGTGAAATGAACATTACATCCCTTCAAAATATTCTCCGCGGTTTGAAATGCATAATTTCAATTTCTGAATTCTTTCTGAAATGCGTCACGGTGCGCTGATTTAGGTAGACCTCTGAGGCACTCACTGATGGCTAAGTCAAGGGCTTGTCGGGACTTGTAACGACGACCAGATAAGAACTTTTTTAGTTTTGGAAAAAGGAAAAAGTCGCATGGGGCTAGATCTAGAGAGTATGTGGATGTGGCAAGACGGTAACCTTCTCCGACTTCAAAAATTGTTTCACAAGCTCAGATGTATGCGATGGAGCATTACCATGAAGTAGACGAACATGCCTAAATCCTGACACAGGTTGTCGTTTATGATGTTTCTTGAGCATCTCGGTAATATCGACCTGTATCACTTTTGCCCTTCGGCACCGGAATTTGTACGGCTATACCATCACATGAGAAGAATATGCAAAAAGAACCCTTTTTTGTGCTTTTGCTTCTTTTGGCAACTACAGGCCTTCTACCGTGTTTAGTTAGCCATATTTGTTTCCAATTTTTCTTACTGGTTCGAAATAGTAAACCCAGTTTCGTCACCAGTAACAATGTTTGGAAATTGTCTTGATTGAATTTGGGAAACATTTTGAGCAATTCTTAGCGGTTTGTACTCGTACCCGGTTTGGTCATCTGTCAATATATCTGACAGAAATCTTTCGTACTTTCAAAATACGCTTCAGCATGAAATGCACCCGCGATAGCTATGCCAACAGCTTTGGCAATATCACCAATCGTGTATCTGCCACTGCTTTCAATTATTTTGACTTTTGAGACATTTGCCTTGCCTGTTACAGTCACAGTCAGCCAGATTTTGCTGCATCTTTGACGGAATCTGTGTCAGTCAAAAATTTCTTTCTCCACCTACGAACAGTCTCATAAGATACCTTATCAGACCCATAAACTTCCCCAATTCAGTAAAAATTTGCATTACCACATGACCGTGTTTTGTGCGAACTTTTATTTAAACTCTGATTTCTTCAATATTCCCAACCCGTTTCCCAACCATTTTTACAACAGTGGCCAACGACTAACTCTATTGAAATGAATATAAGTTTAAAACTACGTGGAGCTGAAGGCTCGTGTTTATTCCGTTGGAAAGGTATTGAATAGAGCTATTCAAGAGTGTCATCATCCACGAAATCGTGACATTGTCATTGCAAAGCGTGATCGCACTGTGGTACAATACACATTACACATCGAACAGCCTTCGTACATAAGTTTTGAACTGGACTATTTCGAAGTTGTATCTCGAAGGCCATAATTTGAAATTGAAAGCTTATATCAATATCTTTTACAATAAAATTGAAATTATTAAACTTCTTTTTTCGAGGCATATTCAGGTATTTATATTCTAAAGCACTTCTAGTTTATAATTAAATTTCGTATGAGTTGGGACATTCTGTTCACAATATCTTGCCTTTACAAAGACATGCAGATAGTTGGTCCTACAATCCATATCAGGCAGACGAACAAGATTTAAAACTCTCAGAAAATTTTATTTCAGAGATGCCACCTCTTGGTTGGGAGTAAACAAAGAATTTAACGAGAAATATACACCACTTAAAACTAAAGAAGACAACGAATACTGGATGACATTGAATGATTTTCAATGTAATTTTGGTGGACTAATTATTTGTAGTGGTACAGATCCTTACCGTGCGGAAGGATTCGGTGTTATGCGGTCCTACACTTGTAAGACTGAAAACTTGTCTGATCTTGTTTATATTCTACATTCTCAGAGGAGACTTTCAGAACGAAGATCATCGAGTCTTAAAGCAAAGGATCATGGAAGATTGAGGAATCATGTCAATGAAAAAGTAAAGAAAACTGAGAAAAAAATCAACGAAATTAAAGTGACGGAAACAAATCTCACCGTGAAAATGGACACTTGCCGACGTCATAGCACCGGTGACGCAACAGTGACGTCAGAAAATATCACTCATATATCATATCCTGGATATATAACTGATCACACGACACAAGGACATAACATCAAATGCCAAATGTTCACTTCCAGAAAACACCATTCCTATCCACACGAAGAAATATATAATAATATTAACACTAGGGTTTCTTTTGACCTGAATAGCTCGAATAGCACTTCGGACATTTCAGTTATAATTTCTCGGCCACATAGTGCACCTATGTCGGCAGGGGAGACAGATTCTAAGTATGGTTCCTCAGGTTCAGTATCTCAACTTACACAGAGCAACTTCCTTGCCACCAGAAAAGACTTTTTCCGACCCAGAGGAGGATGGAAACAGATTATTGAGCAACACGGGAAATGGACTAGTAAGTAAATCATGTTTCGACCATGTAGAAATAACATGGCTCCAACACTCTCACCAAATCAATGCCAAATAATCGATATTTTTACTTTCTTTTTCATACAAAAAATGCGTACATGTAAAGCTTGATTTTAATAGTTACCATGGTGTGGTAGGGGAATTGCCGCTGTCTGTGTAATGGGGGTTCAAAATAAAAGAATGGTAAATCCACATTATTCTACCACATAATCATAAATGACATCCTATTTACAATGCGTTTTTTTAGCACAGAATTATGAAAACATAAATCTCTGTGCCAAATATAGTTGAGGCTTGATTTTATCCATCATAGTGAATAATGATTATCAGTAATTAAATAGATATCTTGTAGTATTTTGTGTAAATAAAAATGCTTTTTTCCTTGTTTACTGTTAAATGAGTATATTTAAGGTTTTGTATATAACTGAATAAGACAAAAATTAAATTTACATATTTACTTATTAGTATATTTTTGCCAAACTTTGAATAGCTATAAGTACAAATATAAAATTGCTTTTATACAGAAAATACAAGTGGAATAACTTCATCCAATCTGGATGTACTGAGTAAGTGCTCCAGAATCTCTATAGCGTTATCAAAAAAAGAAGGGGATCCCAAGGATCAACACCCTAGTTTATCAAAGAAGAACCTGGTGCTAGTCTCACTGTTACAGGACTACAGACATGGTGTGGAACACTCCAACAATATGCCAGTTCAGTTTGGACTTAGCTTGTTCAGGGTAAGTATATTAATCAAAATTTGATTTCTTTCTTACAACTGAAGAATTCATGATTAGCTTCTCTTTTACCTTAGATTGAATAAACAGTCAAATACAGTTGCTGCACTGTTTACTAATACTGCGGATGACCAAATGTTTGCGACACCTTTTTTTATTTGGTATTAAAAGCGAGACAAAATGCTCAGGAATTTCTTTAAGTGTCACGTATAATCATTAATGATATAAATATATACACGAATGAAATTTTGGCTAGCAGTTGTTCTTGCTTAAAGCTGAACACGACTCGTAAATAGGCATACGCCATTTTCGATATTACTGTCTAAGATATCAGCACCAGGGTATACTCTTTGCATTCGTTACACCTGACTGCTTTATTGTCACGGGTATCGGCGTGGAATGGCGACCCGTGTTCGTGCTGGTTATCTTGCATTATCTTTGTTTACATTTTATTGCAGTTACTGACGTGTAATTGTGTTTGTTTGTATACTGCACTGACCTGTGCAACTGTTGTAAATCTCTTTGGGATCTTACTCTCCTGCATTAGAAGAAGCACACAGTTATTTGTGTCGCTACCAAGTGCTGTATAGCATACGTCCGTCTTCACCGGTGACAATTGATTACACTGAACAGTGACCAAGTGAGCGGCTCTATATATAGGGGCCCTCAGATATAGCATGAGTCCAACCAAATATGGCGGACAGATTCTTTTTACGAAGCGTGTTCAGCTTTAATCACGCGAAAATTAAAAGCGATGAACAGTATGTGCTTTTTCTTATATTTTACAGTCAATTTGAAATTGCATTTACTTGTACTTAAATTTGTGATTATCATGAATGCTGATTGTGAGCAAATATGTTAATCTTTATACTTTTTATTCAATTGAATTAATATGAAACAATTTCTTTTCTCTTTGTTTAAATTATTATAGTAGCAGACGTAAATTGGGTTAATTTTTCACAGTGTAAAAATGCCGAACATGGAGAGAAAAAGCATTTGTCCAAACTTCAGTTTATTTTGAACGCTGAATCCAAATATGAGGCAAGGGAATTAAGAACAAGGATAAGCCTCGATGACGGTTGTTATGTCGTTGTGCCATACTGTTTGACATCGGGTCATGACGGTGATTATCTGCTCCGCATAATTGGAGAAAAAGATCTGCTGGAAAACAAGAACGGATGGTAAATCAATTTTAAAAGGTCCAGAAACACACACACACACATATATATATTATATGTATGTATGTATGTATGTATGTATGTATGTATGTATGTATGTATGTATGTATGTATGTATGTATGTATGTATAAGGTTTTCAAATTAGCAATGCCTCTCTATGCAATTTTATTTATCTTCCTCTTCATGAATTTTTTTGATTGTCTAAAAAAATATTTGAAGTATATTTTAGTTGAAATTTTTAATTCTCAAGATAATATATAGTATGCATTTATAACTTTTTTTTCTTATTTCAGTGTCATTTCTTAATGGAAATTAAAAAAAAAATGAAAATGGACCTGTTGGTAATCGATACATCCATTGTCCTATTTTATGATTGTCTTGCTTTTTATCCTGCGGTAAAAAGATACTGTTTTCAACAATTATTAATAATTTTTTTTATACGTTCATATACGAGGGGTTATCAAAAAGTTTGTGGACTGATGCGATAAAATTAATACTATGTAGTTGTTGATTGCAAAATTTGTAGGGAACATAAAACAACAAAAGTTTAAGAAGTGTTGAAAATTTCAGCTTGATATGTTGATTATTTGCCAAATTATCATTAAATAAAAAGAGCATTATATGATCACCCGGCGCTGTCGCCGTTTATTTTCATGACGTCCGACAACGTCATTTTCTCTCCATGCCCGCTCCCTCTGCCTCAATACACTTATCTTGATGAGATTCTCTGGAGTAAAGTAAAGACCTAAATCCGTCTTGTTTATATGACTTTACAATGTTATGAACACCTGATTTCAATGCATTAATATTGTAAATATTAAACCTAAACATAAGAAAAAATCCTCGCTTGATTTTGCCAGCATAATTTTCTTGCCGGTGTTCAATGTCAACCAATGATCAACGTCACTTTTCGAAGTGTCTGACTTTGGACACCCTGACTACAAATCGACATTAACTGTGTGTCTCTTTTGTTGCTGAATCTGTCTTGGTATTTAAACACAAGTACTCTGGATGTATTTTATTTCTCTGTAGCTTGTTTAAACATTTTCTAGGTTTATGTCAGGTTTTCCAGGGGCTGAAACTTTATAGAATGTTGTAAAATGACACCCTACCCCCTTTCGACGTCATTTTTAACCCCTTTATTGTTTGGACATTCCCTATATATATATATATATATATATATATATATATATATATATATATATATATATATATATATATATATATTTACGATAAAATTTCATAGAATATACAGAATCAGGTAAAAATTGCAACTTTTACGGAAAAATTATGTCACATAACATGAGTGAATTAATGGGATTTTCGGATGACAAATGCTCATATTAGAAGAGTTTTTCTCAGTTACACTCAGGTAGAAAATACGTCATGTTCGAGGTTGCGCCGCCTTGACATACCATTGCTTACAAAAACATTTACGATTCACTCAAAAATAAAACTTATGATTTATAGTTTATTTTACGGATAGAAAAGAAGATGCTTATTTAATGTTTAAAAATTCATCGATGTATCTTAAGCGGTCTTAATTTTTAAGACGCTAGTCCACGAACTTTTTGATAACCCCTCGTATATTATAATATTTCTTGGATGTGCCTTTAATATTCGTAAAGATATTGTTCATAATGCTTACAAATGTTGTGTCCAGGTTTTGCAAATATTTTCAAAACGAATTATTTCAATCGTTAAAATCTGTCTCTAGAGGTATAAATTTTGATTGTTCTTCGATGAAAAAGATGGTCATCAATGACATTTTTAATACATGTACATTTTTTTTTCAAAAACTTTGTGTTGGTTCTGAACAGACACAGACATTTTTAGCTTGATTTACCGTTTTATTGTATATCAGCTATTTATTAGAAAACTTGTTAAATATTGTTATCATATTAAAAGTTTTCAGAGGTGCTACGTTGATGTTTGTTTTTTCCAATAAAATCTACCAAAAAAATTAAACAGATGTTTGATAACGCCATTGTATTTCTTGTCCTTTTAATATAAAATTGCGATTTACTGTAAATTTTATACACTACACTTTGTATTGGGGTGTACAGGAAGCAAAACCTTAAACGGCCAGTTATGTTTCAGAGTTGGTTAGCTTTTTATATTGATGTGACAAATAGCAATTAAAATCTTCAAAACTGTTAATCATGGACAGCGATTTCATAGCCCTAAAACATGTTTATGACATATGTAATAACTTTCTATTTTTAGACACAATAGAGAGGTTTGGCAAACCATGTACACGTACATATGTTGGTCCGCCTAAACTTCTTTATTACTTGTCTCACTGGCCATCTTGATAGTAGATAATTCTATTTCTTACGTGTAGGGCATGAACGTCTTCACATAGTACAATGAATCTTTATGGAATACAAACCAGATTTTCTTGTCCCTACTCAATCTTTTGAAACGGATAATAAATGGGGATAAGCTATCTATTTTCTAATGTGTTCAGTTTAGAGACTGACATACATGTATCAAAGAATTCAGAATAAGCTACCTTTAAATGAAAAAAAAAATTTCAAAAGACCCTAGTATTCTTCCTTTTTTAAATAACGATAAATACCATATTGCAGAGAGAACACATATGACATGGAATTATCTATCTTATACAGAGACTCCGATGAAAATTTCCCCGCTGATGATTCAATATGAAAAAGTCGATTCAGCTATAGTTTGTTACTTTCTGGGGAACACATTTTATGAAAGCAACCTGAAAACATATCCGTACTGAAAACAATTTTAACGTTCTTAAAATCATATGCTTAGCAACAGCAACCTTAACCATCACAACATGACCTAGAATTTTTATGTAAATTAGAGTTGTCCTAACAGAACTGATCCCCCCGGGGGAATTATTAAGAGTTAACCTGAACGTCGAGCTCGGATTGGATACCTCATGAGATACACCAGAAAGATCATTATCACAAAAGTTGGGAAATAATTAAAAAAAAGAGCCAACAAATAATATGTTGAAGTGTCTCAGCATTTGGTGTTTGTAGTTAGAATGGGTAAATAAATAATGCTATGTTTTTTTCTGTTTCATGCGAAAGTTAAGCTATACCTGTGTAACGTTTTTTTTTTTTACAAAAGAAATCTACAAAAGATAATAAAGTTTTCAAAAATTATATTCTGATATTCAAAAACTTATTATAGATTACAAAATCAACAACAATATATATTTATATATATGGTCGCACAACGTCACTTGCTAGATTTAAAGGACCCCCAAAATTCGGATGAAGTTAGAGTTAATTTCTAATACCCAATTTCATAATTAATAAATAAATAATATAAATTTCAATTATAAATATACCTCGACATTCCAAAGATGGTTTGGGAGCGACTAAAAATTGAATACTAGTAATAAAAAAAATCCACAAGTCTGGTCTGGACAAAAGTAACTGTAAAAATTTCTACATCCGTTCAGTAGAATCCCAAAACTTCATTTGAACTACAAAACTAAACGTTAGTGCTTATGTGACGTAGCATAACCAAACGTGACGTTCCACAACCCAAAATCACGACAAATTTCAGGTAAAACCTATACATAATTTCCCGCGTCCGGAAGTAATGGAAAATGAAAGTACAAATGCGAAATAACTTATAAATTAGGTAAAACAATGATGTACAACAAATTTAAATGTATTTTAAACATATAATAATAATAATAATGAATAAATCTTCCGGTCAGTATAAATTAAGATAACAAATAGATAAACACACAGTATAATAATATAGTCAAAAATCATTACATGTACATTAAAATCGTTAAATCACCCTCTCGCTACAAGAGATTCGTCATCGAATCTTGGGGATAAAAATAATTTACATTCAATAAAATCACCACTTCAAATATAATCTTTATAACATTAACAACCATTAACAATTTATGTAACAAACCAACTTACCAACGGTTCAACAACCTAAAAAGACTAAAATCATATCAGTTCAATAACATTTGAAATACATTTTCTCAAGGTGAAGTGTCCGTCTGTGTAGATGCATTTACATTAATCTTGGCAAGAAATTGGGGAGCTTCTCCATCTAAATAATGACTCCAGGCACCGAGGAAGTAAAAGAAAGGATTTGATGAAGTAAAGGAACAATTTACAGGTGGGGAAGGTCCTACAGGTTCCTCAGAGCAGGTCCTGTTCCTGGCAGCAGAAGGTTTGCTCAGGTCCAGAGGAACAGGTTCCACGGGCTCTTCTTGGGCGGTGACTGCAGGGATATGAACTTTCACAGGAATGGGAGATGAGGGCTCTACAGGCGTACAATCAGGTGTAGACACCCTATCAGGAGTGGCCAATGAGCTACACGTAAGCTTTACAGGAACAGAGGTCTTGGGATCCTGGAAAGACATTAACTCAGAGAAAGCCAATCCTGAAAAATCCCACTTGGACAAGTTCAGTGGGTCCTCCTGATGTAATGAGGTGACCTAAGAAATATCAGAGTAGATAGGAGTGGGCGGTCCAACTATTTGTCTCACAGTTGTTTCACGTAAGTGCCCCATGGCTGCAGGTTTCTTGTTTTCAATGGTAGACTTATATTTGTTACTCTGATGAATAGTTTCTTCATGTCTTTTCAGTTGATACATCCTGGTTTTTGGTACAGAATAATAGCAACAGGAACAGAAGACTCTGTCTCCATGGACATTCTCATGTGCCGAGAAAGCTTGTGTCGGGAAAAGAATCTCCGGCCACAGTCATCACATTGATGTAATGGTTCTTCAGAGGGAACAGAAAGGTATGAAGTTCCAAGATATCTGTGGACACTAAAAATAATAAAATACAAAAGTTTACCAACACAAGTTTACATATAAATATTTTTATCTTTGGTCAGAGATACTATTCTTTTATTGGGTATTTTGGGTACCCTGGGCGTTTCTGTCACTGGGTTGTACAAACAATTTTTTCATTCTCCCAAATATGGTTTCAATCTACATGTATTTACATGTACAAATTTTGACTTCGTAAATCAAATCTGATAGT